TGACTGAGTCTAAAATTTAGTAGATGATACGATATAGCAATGTGAAAATAAATAAAAATAATAATAAAATTAATAAAATAGTAATAGTTATAAATGGTAACATCTTACAATATATAAATACGTATTGGAGTGGTTTCCTAAAAAATATATATAAATAAATAAATAGATAAAATTAAACTTACTTATAAAAGTGCATAAAAATTTATGATGAACTTATACAGCATAAAAAGAAACAAGATAAAGCGCATACAGTGTAAAACAAACCAAATTAACTAAAATTAAGTTGCATTGCACAGCCTAATGGAATGGGGAATAAGGAGTTTAATGATGAACAAAGCATTACAAACACAACATAAGATTCAAACTAGCATAAATACAAGGGTTTTAAGAAAAAATTAACACACAAAATATAATCAAGCATCATAGCAACTAAAAGGGATGCACAAAAAGCAAGGCAAACAAAAACCATGTATTCTAAGCATTTACATAAATTAAACACTCAAGCAGCAAAACAAACACATAGCCAAATTAAAAGCACATAGCACATTTACAAGCTTGGGCCACTCCAGACCTGGAATCACAGTCTCACAAACTCTTTGTAATTGTCAAGACTTGCGGCATTCATTTGGGAGACTGTTCCGTATCTGGGCACCTTGCAAACTATAAAGAATTCTATACACCTATGTATGTTTACTGTTGTTGACCCTGGTGGGGACTCATTTTACACTTTTTTGGATACTAAAAGAATAATTGGAATTTTTAAATGAATTAAATATTTATATATGGTGGTGATTTTCCGTACAGGCATTTAAAAACACTTCTTTGGCTATTACTTTAATTCTTGACAAATGTAAAGTAGGCATATTAACTTTTTTTGAATAATGTGTCATATGAAGAATTAAAATATTAAATACTATTTTTAGGGCTCTATATTGCTGGAGTTTTTCAAGTTTTCTGTGTTTGTTTTGGAGCAAAATGCCAAGACAAGGGGACAGTAGTTAAAATTAGATCTGATAAAGATTTTGTAAATAAGAAGAAGACATTCATGAATTTAAAAATTTCCTAATTCTTAAGAGCACATTTAATTAGATTGCATCTTTTTTACACATTCTGGTGACCTGTATATCAAAGTTAAGTAAAAAAATCTATGTCCTAGCAGTTTAACACAATCTTCACATTTTATTGTAACATTATCAATTTGAAATTCTTTTAAGTGTTCATTTGTTATTTTCCAACAGCTATGGCTTGAAACTTGTCAGGTTAGCTTGCATTTTTATTAATGTTAAACCAGTTAATAAGTATTTTACTTTCATTTTCCTAATGTGTTTTTCAATATGTCTATTTTAGAGTTTGGAAGAAGGCTAGAGTATTGTCATCTGCATAATTGTAGAGGATGAATTTATCTATAAAATAAAAATATCATTCATGGAAGATGTTTGAAAATTAAAAGGTCAAGAATAGAGCCTTGTGGCACCCTTAATTGTTGTCAAGCAAAAAGTTGCTATGATACTCTCCTCTTTTAACTGTTTGTTTCCTGTTTAAAAATTTGAACAGAGAACTCATTTTCAAAACCCCATATGCCTCTAGCTTTTGGACTGCAAAATCTGCGGAGACAGCCCAAAACCCTTTGGCAGGTCCTTTGGGATTGCTCCCACTGCTCTTTTTGAAGCCATTTTCCAGCCCTAACTAACGCAAAAAGGTTTTCTGACATCCGTACCCCTGGTCGAAAGCGGCTAAAAAATTTATGAATTATTTTCAAAAGGGTTTTCAATTGTTCATTTATAATTTTCTAAATTTTTTACTTTATGGTAATATTAAGGGCCAAAAATTTTAAATAAAAGGATATCTTTTTTTAAAAACTGGAGTGTTGACCATTTAAACTGTTTAAATAAATTGTGTTGATCTATTTTTATATTTGGGTTTGGGTTACAATTATATTTTGAGCATTCAAAATTTTGGGTGGTACATTGTCTATCCTTTTGCTTTTTTGGGTTTTACATTTAGATTTTCAATTACTCATTTACAGAAAAAAAATTGACTTTTTGTCATGTTATTTTTGTTTAATTAATTTAATACTAGGGTTCTTTTTGGGATAATAGCGATATTTTTATCCAATTTTGGCAATTTACAAAAAAGTCATTTAACATAACCCTTTAGTTTTGATCGGCAATCCGACTTTTTCCCTTAAATAATTTTATTTGAATTTTTAAAAAAGGGATTTTTGATTTAAAAAAAAGGTTTGATTTTTGGGGCCAAAATTTAGACGGGGGCCCCCGCCCTTTTTCCATGAAAGGGTGGAAATAGATTCAACGTTTTATTTTTTTTTTTTGAAGCCTATTTTTTTATATTTTCCCCAAATTTATTTTTTTTTTTAAATTTCAGATATGTTATGTGCTGTTTTGTTTGGAGATTTTTTTTCGTATTAGATTCAATAAGGGGGGAAGACTTTTTAATTTTTGTTTTTTTGGTGCATGTTCTTTTCAAAATTTTTCATTAAAAAGTTTTAAGCCCATAATTTTCTCAACATCATAAAAAGTAATGCTTTTGGAAGGTACTTTGTCTAGTTCATTTTAAAAACATTTCATCAAAATTTTTGAACCCTAAAAGGGTTTTCCCTTTTTTTAGATAGGTTTTAACTGTTCTTTGAAGTTGTAAATACATACATGGCAGTCATTATGCTGCCTGATAATGATGTTACATAGAAAAAGGGACGATTTTGTTAAAAACATCAAAAGGGGTTGGTTGTCTATATTTTTAAACATTTGGGTCAATTAGATTTTACCAAGTTGAAACTAAATCCATGATGTTTGTAAGGATTTTATTTTTGGTAGGAATTAGCAATCATAGTTTAAGTCCCCAGTTAATAATTACATGGTCAAATTTAATGAATAATTTGGTCTAATGTTTCAGATAGCTTGATTCAAAAAAGATGGTCAGACTTAAGGTGGTCTATATATAAAATATAATTCCCCATTTTTCTTTTTAAACAAATTCAATTCAAAACATAAATTTTCCAGACCTTGATTTCTAAATCTGTACGGCGTTTAATAGGTATAATCAGCCCGTTTAGTGTCAGCAAAGCCTCCACCATGGGCATCTCTATCACATTCTGTTAACTTGTATCCATCAACTGGAACAGGTTATCACTGAAAGAATGATCAATTTTTGGTTTCAGAAATACAGAAAATATCAACAAGATTATTATCAAAAAAAATGGGTCTAATTTCCTAGAAATTTTATATCTTATAATTATTAATATTTAGATGACCAATTATCGGTCTTTTCCTATTTTAAGTTTTTAAGGGTTTTAACATCATCAAAAATGTCATACAGGTGTTCACTATCACAGGACACTATTATTAAGTATGTCACTGTTTTCTAAAATTTTCTTCCGTTGTTTCATCATTAAAATCATACAGAGAACAATAGTTTCCTGGCTGGGTTTGGTAACTCACTATTCAGATTTTTCACATGTGGTGTTTATAATTGATTTTTACTATTAGAAGTGTGGTCTTCCCAATTTTCCTCCTCATCGCTCGAGGGGGTAAAACTGTCATTTATTTTGTCTATAGTCATATGACTCAAGTGTAGATGAACAGATCAGGAGTACATGTAGGATGTGTAGTTGATTCCATAGATAATTCTAATAATTCAGGTATACATGGTATAAGTGGCACTTTTAGACACAGAGTACATATATAAGGATCCGGGTTATTCTGCAATAATGCATAATCTTTTGGAGATATATCAGCACATTTTATATGTAGCCATTTATCACAAGTCTCACAGAGACAGTTACTGAGTTATTACTAATAATAATATAATTTAATCATATTTATATGCACAATACAAATAATATTCATTCATTTTGTTTAAACTGCCATTGAGTCAGGTAATTTTGACAAAAACCCAGCAGTCAGGTCTCTGTCGACTTATACTTGCGATGACTTCGAGATTACATATCTTCTTATAACTTGAAATGATTGTAATGACAGCTTTATTTCCTTGAACAGGAATCAATTCCCTACTGTTTGTTACCAAGATTTTGAAAATTGGTGAAAAAATGTTGGAGTTATGGAGTTCATATTAAGATGAGTGCTGAAAAATTAGTGGCGAGTTGCATACCTTTACTAAATATATATGTATCAATTTTTTATCTTTTTGTGGGAAGTGAAGGAAATTGAATTAACAGCATATACCAAATATTTAAACTTGTTTCAAATGAAAAATACTGCAGTTTACATGGTTTTGAAAGGTAGGAGGGTTGTAGAGTGGGTGAGGGGGTGTGGCCCGGGGGATAGTGACCAATCAAGGCGCCGAACACCTATGAGGAATGCATAATCCCAACTCCCATAATCTCAAGGAAGTGCACTATATGCACATGCTATTAAATTGTTGAAGAAGTTTTGGGTTTTTAATTTGCTGCATTTTCACATAAATCTACTTTTCACTAGAGAAAGGTTGGCTTCTGGTTTTGACATAGAAGCAAAATTCTACATCCAGGGTTGGCAAAATTAATTTTTGGTATTGCCCTTGTTGTCCCACAGCCTGTAGGGACAAGTGAAAATTTTCAAGAATTAAATATGTCAATATTATACGGACAAGTTATAAAATGCTCCACATAAAAACGGACAAGTAAGTCAAAATCAGATTTTGCCGGCCCTGTACATCTGAACATCTATAATTGATACTGCTTAACAATCAATTCTGGCCCAGAACTTCTATATCTCGGATTCTAGCTTTGGCAAGACTTGGAAGAAAATAGATTTGACTTCATGTGCTGCAAAAGGACTGCTCAAGAAAGAAAATGCACTGAATAGAATATTAGATTAGTGGCCTGTCAAACCAATGTAACAATCTTAGGCTTCTCATTTTTAAAACAAATACATGTCATAGTGATACCCTGGCATTGAAAATGTTAAAAAAGAGGCTAAATAACATAAAAACTATAATAAAAGAACATAGCATTTTACAGTATTGCTAATTTTGTAATGTCATCTCCATTCTACTTACAGGATGATAAAAGTGATATGGAATGTAATAAAGAAGATATTTGGAGTCATTTTCATGATATTTTCTCCTCTAAAAAGGCTATGGTGCCGAAGGAAACGTCGAAACTCTGACCCAATTCTGCCGATGTCAAATCATTACCCTTCAGTAGAAAATTTGTCCTCCCACTACTCTATGAATGGAACTGGACAGGTATTTAATACTTTAGAGTAATGGATTAGTAAAGAAGTTTTGGTATCAACTTTGTGATGCAGTTTTACAGCTCTTTCAGTGTGTTTTTTTGAAGTCTGTTTCACAGTTTTTACAATGAACATCATTGCATGGCCAAATGGGGAGTCCGTGGCTGAGTGGTTTAGGTTGTTAACTTCAAACCACTTGCCTCTCACCACTGTGGTTTTGAATCCATACAGGGACTTTGGATTCTTTCATGTGAGGAAGCTATCCAGCTAGCTTTCGGAACGTCAGTGGTTCTACTCAGGTGCCCCTTCATGCCTGAAATAATGCAAGGAAGGACACCTGAGGTCTTCCTCCACCAGTAAAGCTGGAACGTTGCCAAATAACGTAAATGTGTTGTGATGTAAAACCCAATCAAACAATCAAACGTGGCCATTTTTGTTTTCGCTTAAAATGTTTCTATTATCATAATCTAACAACATACAAAGTTTAAAAAAATTCTATTGAACAGTTTTAATTTTGCCTATATTTCTATGTGAAAACTCCCCAAAAAGGTCTTTAACATTTAAGTAAATCTGAACAAGAAACTTCCAAAACTGTGCATAGTACTCTGTGTAATATGAAAAATATTGTTTTTAGTATTAAAATAAAAGATTAGACACACACATCCTAAGTTAAATTACTTCCATTTTTGAACGACATATTCTATAGCATAAAAATGATAGATAAGGAAATGCTTCCTCATGTGGGAACTAAAAATAATTAGCAAAAAAACCTTGCATTTGAATGAAAATTACCTTCCTTTAGAAATTGTTTTAAATCTGCAAAGATTTTTCAGTTATTAAATGGATTATGCATTGTTCACATAGATGCTCAATATCTCAAATATTTTATTCACATTCATGATTCTTTCCTTGCAAAATAAAGACATGGACATGCAGTGCATTGTCTCATGATGTATGCATGATGATCATCTGCCGTGCTAAATTGAATACACAAAAGTATCTTAAGTAAATTTATTATCACTTTTTAACCAGTTGTAGTTCAGAATATTTTCCATATTCCATTATGCCTCAGAAACATATAAATGTTTACTTCTTTAGTAAGGGCACTAATTCACTATAACTGCACTTATTGCCAAAAAGCAACAGATGGAAAAGATGGTTCAAATAATTGGGAAATAACTTGATGGATACTAAAAAAGTACACCAAAAATTTTAAAAAAATAATTGAGAAATAAGAATAAAAGCATTTCTGCGGCATATTGGTCCTTTAACTTTTTAGAATGGATTGTTTTTATAGATTTAATTATTTATGATACTGCTTGTAAACATAAATTATGTTTACAAGCAGTATCATAAATAATTAAATCTATTAAATCTATATCACTTTGTGACAGGTGAGCTAAAAATATATGGAAATATGGATTCATTATTAATCCATATTTCCATATATTTTTAGCTCACCTGTCACAAAGTGACAGGGTGAGCTTTCGTGATCGCTTTTCGTCCGGCGTCCGTCCGTCCGGCGTCCGTCCGTCCGTAAACTTTTACTTTAAATGACATCTCCTCATAAACCACTAAGCCAATTTCATCCAAACTTCACAGGAATGTTCCTTTGGTGGTCACCTTTAAAAATTGTTCAAAGAATTTAATTCCATGCAGAACTCTGGTTGCCATGGCAACCAAAAGAAAAAACCTTAAATATCTTCTTTTCAAAAACCATAAGAGGTAGAGCTTAGATATTTGGCATGAAACATCTTCTAGTGAGTGTCTACCAAGTTTGTTCAAATAAAAGCCCTGGGGTCAAAATTGGCCCCGCCCCGGGGTGTCATTGATTTTCCCTATATGCATATAGTAAAAACTTAAAAAATCTTCTTTTAAAGAACCCAAAGAGCTAGAGCTAAGATATTTAGCATGAAACATGTTCTAATGGGTGTCTACCAAGTTTGTTCAAATAAAAGCCCTGGGGTCAAAATTGGCCCCGCCCCGGGAGGTCATTGACTTTCCCTATATGCATATAGTAAAAACTTAAAAAATCTTCTTTAAAGATCCAAAAGAGTTAGAGCTAAGATATTTAGCATGAAACATGTTCTAATAAGTGTCTACCAAGTTTGTTCAAATAAAAGCCCTGGGGTCAAAATTGGCCCCGCCCCGGGGGTTCATTGATTTTCCCTATATGCATAATAGTAAAAACTTAAAAAATCTTCTTTTAAAGAAATCGAAAAGAGCTGTGGCTAAGATATTTAGCATCAAACATGTTCTAATAGGTGTCTACCAAGTTTCTTCAAATAAAAGCCCTAGGGTCAAAATTGGCCGCGCCCCGGGGGTCATTGATTTTCCTTTTATGTGTATAGCAAAAACTTAAAAAATCTTCTTTGAAAAAACCCAAATAGCTAGAGTTAAGATATTAAGCATGAAACATCTTTTAGTGAGTGTCTACAAAGTTTGTTCAAATAAAAGACCTGGGGTCAAAATTGGCCCCGCCCCGGGGGTCATTGATTTTCTTTATATGTGTATAGCAAAAACTTAAAATCTTCTTTGAAAAAACCCAAATAGCTAGAGTTTAGATATTAAGCATGAAACATCTTCTAGTAAGTGTCTACAAAGTTTGTTCAAATAAAAGCCCTGGGGTCTTAACTGGCCCGGCCCCAGGGGTGTCATTGTTTTTAACTATATGTGTATAGTAAAAACTTTAAAAAAAATCTTCTTTTAGCTAGAGCTTAGATGTTTGGCATGAAACATCTTCTTATGGGTGTCTACCAAGATTGTGCAAATAAAAGCCCTGCAACGTTGGGGGTTGGGGGGTGGGCTATATACAGGTGAGCGACCTCAGGGCCATCATGGCCCTCTTGTTATATATTTTTTTTGTAAATCAGGTTCAGGAGGAGTTGTCTCCCTGGGACAGCTGGGATGAACAGAAACAAGCTGAAAAGATCAGATCTGTGGAGGAATATCGTCAACGGCAACTGCAGCTACAACAACAACAATCTCAGGAAAACGAACCAGAAATGGACTACTTTCAGGATATGACACCAAAAGTTAAAAAACAGAAAAAGGTGAATGTTTTTTTTATTATTTTAATAAATTTTTTTGGAAAAATCTGTTTTGTCATGAAATACTTGCTTTAATTGAGGTTTCTTGATTTATTAATGATACAGGCTAAAATGGAGAAGTCTATCATGTTTAATTTATGATACAGGTTTTAATGAAGGAGTTTATCATGATTAATTTATGATACAGGTTTAAATGAAGGAGTTTATGATGATTAATTTATGATACAGGTTTTAATGAAGGAGTTTATGATGATTAATTTATGATACAGGTTTAAATGAAGGAGTTTATCATGATTAATTTATGATACAGGTTTAAAAGAAGGAGTTTATCATGATTAATTTATGATACAGGTTTAAATGAAGGAGTTTATGATGATTAATTTATGATACAGGTTTAAATGAAGGAGTTTATCATGATTAATTTATGATACAGGTTTAAATGAAGGAGTTTATGATGATTAATTTATGATACAGGTTTAAATGAAGGAGTTTATCATGATTAATTTATGATACAGGTTTTAGTGAAGAAGAAAGAAGATTATACAGGGTATATATCTGACAAACTTGCCATGACGGCAGACATTCCAATGATGCAGGTAAAACATTAATGTGTTAACTTTTATTGCATGACATTCAATTTGTTTTCAATGCAACATAAACATTACATATTTCTAATATGAAATTGGCTGTTCTGTTATTTCACCTAGATTTCCAGCTTGTTACAGGCATTTGTGTTTGGTCCTTCTGTTTTTTTCCCTCCAGTTTTCTAGCTTGTTTCAGTCTTTTGTGAATGACTCAGGGGTCATTTGATTTGTTGAAATAAGAGCCTGAATGGCATAATTTGTGAAAAAAGTCCTATTTTTTACTGTTAAGATTAGGTATTTTAAAGGATAAAAGTTTTGATAATGTGTTGGAAAATGGCTTTTTTTATAGTAAGCACCTTATAAGATAAAGCCTGTGGAAGCATCCTTGACTGAGTGGTTAAGGTTGTTGACTTTAAACCACTTGCCGCCCAAAAGGAAATTTGGATTCTTTCATGTGAGGAAGGTATCCAGCTTGCTTACAGAATGTCTATGGTTCTACACAGGTGCCCATTCGTGCCTGAAATAATGCATAGAGGGGCACCTGAGGTTTCCCTCCACCATTAAAGCTGAAAAGTCGCCAAATGACCTATACTGTGTTGTTGTAAAATAAAACCCAATCAAACAAACAAACAAGTAAAGCATGTAGTTTACTTTCTCTGTTTCTCATGTTTTAAGTCATTTACAATTTTGTCAATAACTAAAATTTTACAGTTGAGAATATTCATTAGACAATTATGAACAAAAGAGATATTTTCTGGCTTTCTGAATGGGGTCTTGGATAATTTTGGTTGACCCATTAAAGATACAGGATGTATCATTGTTCAATATAAGACAAGAGGTGGTTGTATATTTCCTGATATTTAAAACACTTTTTGGTAAATAATTGGTCAAAGAATTGACTTGACTGTGCCAAACTTTGTATGGATATTGATGATTACCATAACAATTTACAATTTTAGTAAAAATCCATTTCAGAATTCTGAACTCGGCAGTTGGGAGGAGTCAGGGAACGCATGGGAGGCGGAGGCAGATGACGACCTCTCGTGGCAGGCGGACAACGTCATAAAAGAGAAACGTAAAGCAGAAAGACAGCAAAGACACTTACAACAACAGCTGAAAAAACAAGAACGCGAACAACAAAAACAGTTTAAATCTCATAACCCATTGACTGCTGTCCGATTATCATAATAATAATAAATATTCATATTAGGGCTTGAAATTGGGCGGGGCTTAGCTGATCTAGTGGGAGGGATTAAAGTGGTTAAGAGGCAGGATTATTGATACCTAGTGCTTGGGAAATAGTGATACACGGATGAGAAAATTATGTTTCTTGCTTGGAAAGGTAGCTCTATTGTATGGTAATGTGATCATATTTTATAATTAAGTCAGGTATAAAAGTAAAGAGCAATATTTGTTCGATATGAAATCATGAACATTGTACTTTTATCTTTAATACAAGCCTCGGCAAATATTTTGTTACTGCCTTCATACTAAAAAAGAAGCATGCATATAAGTAAAGTTGTGAATTATATTAATTTCCTGTACATGAAATTCGTGGTTTTGTCACAAAGAACATTTTCGTGGGTACATAAATTTATGGCTGTTTATTTTTTCCAAAAGGTTAAAAAATATAAATAAAGTGATAAAGTGATGCAAAATTATGCTACAGGAGACAAAATGAAATTTTGGTGGATCCTAAATTCATGAATTGACCTATCCACAAAAAGAACGGAAATTAGTGCTCCACATATAATAATGATTTTGCAGTTTAAAGATTTGAAAAAAATAAGCCCTAATAGAATGGTCTGAAGAATGGTATTCTAAGGGATACTGTTGCACAATTTGTGGGAGCTGTTGTTTTATTTATTTTCATTAATGTCACTTGTACAGATGCATATTAATCAGGTTATAAATTGGGTACAGCTTTTTAAAAGCTTTTCAGGGGCTCGAATTTAACTCTTCTATACGCGCAAAAGTTAGTTTGTTTATTACAATTATATTAAAGTTCTGGAAATTTGAACAAACCCTTTCATAGGAAATTGATCAAGAGAATATTAATTTTTTATCAACCTTTATTTTAGTCTCACAATTGGTTCACATAGACATTTTCTGTAGAATTAATTACTTTCCTCTATTTACATGGTTAGGTTGGGGCGTTCCGTTCCGCAAAGTATAAGTAGCCGTTAAGAAACACATATAGACATAGTGAAGAAACACTTTCATATCCGGAGTGCACTGTAGTGATATCCTTGTGAAAGAAGGAACGAGATGATTTGAATTTTTTTGTTATCGTAACTACATGTACAGTCAAACCCGTGTTTATGACCACCTCTGAGTAAAGATCACTATGTGTATAAAGGCCACTTTGAGACAACCGTACATTGATTATATAGAACAAAAAAACCTTAAAATGAGCCGTGTCACGACAAAACCAACATAGTGCCTTTGCGACCAGCATGGATCCAGACCAGCCTGTGCATCCGCGCAGTCTGATCAGGAGCCATGCTGTTTTCGCTATCAGTTTCTCTACTTGTAATAGGGTTTGTAAGCGAACAGCATGGATCCTGATCAGACTGTGCGGATGCGCAGGCTGGTCTGGATCCATGCTGGTCGCAAACCCATTATGTTGGTTTTGTCGTGACACGGCTCAAATAAAGACCACATGTCTATAAAGGACATGTTTGGTCTCTCCCTTGGATATCCTTTGTTAACAGGTATGACTGTACTTCTCACAGTCAATGAATTTAAGATTTTTGAACTTACTAGCCCAAATTCCAGTTTTGAATTTATTCTACTATATATTTAACTAAATTTTCTTGGCCCAAACTATTTTTCACTGGTCATGGACCACCGGGCCAGTGCTAAATTCGATGACTGTAATCGCATATATATCATTTGTAAATATCTTTCAAATACAAATGAAGGTCAATATATTATATATATATCACCGTTAAACTTGACAAATATCTCATCATCAGAACACCGCTTTTAAATGTATTATTTTTAGCTTGTTTTGTTTCGGAGAAAAAGTTGAGCTGTTAATATCATTGCATCGTCATCATGAAAAACTTAGATTTTAGCCTATTATTCAAACATTTCAAAAGTTATCAAAAGAAAACTTTGGAATACTTGATTAAATATCATGACAAGGTGCAGTTGTTAGACAAGGGGCATTATTCTGAAAGCTATATTTTTTTTTAGGTATGACCCATTTTAAACTCGGATTTTATTTAAATTTTTATCAAAATTTGATAGTGATAATTGTTGCCCGTAACAGACAAACATTAACACTACTTGTGGTGCTCTTGTTTTGTCTCGGTGATTGTGTACATTTATGATTGGTTGATAAGTTTTGTTCAATATGTGTCCCAATGTACAAATCCAACTGAAATACATAGCAAGGAACTTACTGATTTTTTTTTCTTTTTTTTTGTCTTTTTAGCATATATAAACAGAAGATTACAAATTTTGGTTTTTGCATGTCATGAAAAAATATACAAACTACTGATATGATAAACTTTTGCGAGTTTAATGGGTTTTTTTTGTGTTTACAAGAAATTACAAGCACATGTACCAGAGAAAGTTGAATTCGAGCCCTACATTTTCATATTAATATGGGGCAGGCTATCATCAAATAATCATCATTTTAAGTTTCACTTCTAAAAGAATCTTGTAACAATTTCACATATTCCAAAATAAATTTGTAAATATTTTCATTTATGTTTTGTTATTTTAAGAAGTCTTATTCGTCTGTGTTTTCACAAGCTACATGTATTAAGTGATTAAGATTTATGCTCGATTAGTTTTACGATTGTGTCTTTGATTTCACCAGTTTTACATGTATATGAATGAGATTGAAACTTGACTATTCTAAGAATAGATGGGCTTACCTTCTCACCTGGGCATAGGCATTAGTGTTTCTCGTAAAACTTTGGCTAAAGTTGTGTGTGCTACTTTCTGTGTATGTTTAACTTCATATCTCATCAACCACTTCAGACATTTTTATTGTAACTTCATATATCAGTGAGATCATAGTTCGAAGTCGCTGTCCAATGCTCATAACTAGCATTGGTTTGACTGAATTATGGCCCCTTCTTGGGGATTATCACCGACTGTCACTTTTCAAGTCCCTTTAACTCTTGTTTTGGTAAATTATGTCTCCCCCACCTCGGGGGGAGACATATTGTTTTTGCCCTGTCCGTCCGTCCGTCAGTCAGTCCGTCCGTCCATTCTTCGTTTCCGGACGATAACTAGAGTTCCTTTTGACCTACAGCTCTCAAACTTCATAGGATGAATGGTCTTATTGAGCAGATGATCCCTATTGTTTTTGGGGTCAGTAGTTCAAAGGTCAAGGTCACAGTGACCGTTGGTCAATTTCTCGTTTCCGGATGATAACTAGAGTTCCTTTTGACCTACAGCCCTCAAACTTCATAGGATGATTGGTCTTATAGAGCTGATGATCCCTAATGTTTTTGGGGTCAGTAGGTCAAAGGTCAAGGTCACACTGACCGTTGGTCAATTTCTCGTTTCCGGATGATAACTAGAGTTCCTTTAGACCTACAGACCTCAAACTTCATATGATGATTGGTCTTATTTGATCAGATGATCCCTATTGTTTTTGGGGTCAGTAGTTCAAAGGTCAAGGTCACAGTGACCGTTGGTCAATTTCTCGTTTCCGGATGATAACTAGAGTTCCTTTTGACTACAGCCCTCAAATTCATAGGATGATTGGTCTTATAGAGCAGATGATCCCTATTGTTTTTGGGGTCAGTAGTCAAAGGTCAAGGTTCACAGTGACCGTTGGTCAATTTCTCATTTCCGATGATAATACTAGAGTTCCTTTTGACCTACAACCCTCAAACTTCATAGGATGATTGGTCTTATTAATCAAATGATCCCTATTGTTTTAATGGTCAGTAGGTCAAAGGTCAAGGTCACAGCGACCGTTGGTTAATTTCTCATTTCCGGATGATAACTAGAGTTCCTTTAGACCTACAACCCTCAAACTTCATAGGATGATTGGTCTTATTGAGCAGATGATCCCTCTTGTTTATGGGGTCAGTAGGTCAAAGGTTAAGGTCACAGTGACCATTTGTCATTTTCTCATTTCCGGATGATAACTAGAGTTCTTATCAGTGAGGACATTTAACTATTATTGATATATCAGTTGTCTGGTTTTATATACTCTGTTCTTTTATCTCCATTTCCATTTCTGTTTCCATTCACAGTTATTCTCAGCAGTGGGGGAGACATGCGCTTTTTTACAAAAGCATCCTCTAGTTTCTATATTATCTTGTTCCACTATCAAGCATGGAGTGTAGTAGAGTGCATTGTCCTACTGACAGCTCTTGTTTAACTTAATTTTTTGAAACTTTAAATTTTTCAATAAAGATGATTATAAGACTAAATGTATCCCTACTTGTATTAACCCTTAACGTGTGTAAAGGACTTGCCTTAATTTGAAATTTGGAACATCCAATTTAAATTTTGAAGGGTTTTTATCAACAAGATGCAAAATTTGAGCTGTCAATAGTTTAAAGGCTCTATCACATTGTTAGCTCACCTGTCGCAAAGTGACATGGTGAGCTTTTGTGATCGCTATTCGTCCGCCGTCCGTAAACTTTTATTTTAAACAACATCTCCTCATAAACCACTGAGCCAATTTCATCCAAACTTCACAGGAATGTTCCTTTGGTGGTCACCTTTTAAAATTGTTGAAAGAATTTAATTCCTTGCAGAACTCTGGTTGCCATGGCAACCAAAAGGAAAAAAACTTTCAAAAAAAACCCAAAGAGCTAGAGCTTAGATATTTAGCCTGAAACATTTTTTATTGAGTGTCTAACAAGTTTGTTTAAATAAAAGCCTTGGGGTCAAAATTGTATGAAAATATACTATACAAAATATGAACTTTGTGATATCAGTTTAAGATTTAGATTTTATATCTGCTTTTTTTTATAGTTTACAATATTACTTGTTCCTTGTCATGGAGAGTTTCTATATACAGGTGAGTGATTTCAATGCCATCATGGCCCTCATGTTCAGTTCCCTTTCACATTTTTCAGTTCCAGCAGCTTAAAGTAACTATCAAACATTAGGTTTGCCAGTTTCAAAATTTACCTAAATCTTCACTTGTCACTAGTGACCTCCACCACATTTGTATGGTTACAGCAGTGTGGCTATATGTAATTTCAATTTCACCATTTTGATCAAAATCCATTTCTTTACAAGTTTTCTATCCAAGCTGTACAACTAAATGATTGAATTTTTGTAAGCACAACTTTAAAACTCTCTGGGCATCGGTGGCTGAAGTGGTTAAGGTCGTTAACTTCAAACCACTTGCCCCACTGCTGTGGGTTCGAATCCCAACAAAGACTTTGGATTCTTTCATGTGAGGAAGCTATCCAGCTAGCTTATGGAACGTAGATGGTTCTACTCAGGTGCCTGTTCGTGCCTAAAATGATTGCTGGGGGGATCCGGGGTTTTACTAGACCAGTAAAGCTGGAATGTTGCCATATTACCTATGCTGTGTCAGTGTGATGTAAAACCCAAACAAACATATAAATGAAACTCTTTTTTTTTTGTTATTCTTTAATCTTTTGTTTTACATATCACATTTCATTTTAAAAGTTTTCAGACCCTAACTAAATGATTTAAACATACCATGCAGTCATTACTAAACCATAAAAATTACATTACAAGTAGTCTTTCATTATTATGCTCTAACACGATGATTGCTAAATAGGACAATGGTAAAAAAACAATGGCTAAACAGTTCATTGATGTAACAAGAAAATGGTTTAACAGAACAATTGTGTAAAACAAAATGGTTCAGCATAGCAATGGTCCAAAAGATAACAGCACAATGGTCTTGAAGGATAATGGTCTTACAAGAAAACAGCACAATAGTCTTTAAGGACAATGGTGTTAAAAGAAAACTGCACAATGGTCTTGAAGAACAATGGCCCAATAACAAAACAGCACAATGGTCTTGAAGCAAGAAAAGGGCACAATGGTCTTGAAGGACAATGGTCTTATTAAAAATTGTTGAAACATGTCAATGGCCTAGCAAGATGATAATTGCCTTACAAGACACTGGCATAACATAACAATGGTATATCATTACAATGACCTAACAAAGACAATGGTCTAACAAAGTTAATGCCTAATGGACAATGGTATAACATTACAATGGTAAACAAGATATTGACTTTACAAGACAAAAGATCTAGCAGGAAATGGTCAAAAAAACAGTGGAAATGGCAAAATTTGAATGAAAAAGTGAGACATTACAGAATAATTTTATACTAAAAACAATAATATATTACAAAAAAAGTGAATGATGAAAATACATCTTATGATTTAACAAATAACAAAACAAATAAAAATTATACAGTCAATGGCATGCAGTCTGCTTTAAACAGTACAAGAAGTACAAAATATAACAAAATGTTCATTTTATGTAACAGTTATATAACAATATGTATAACAAATAACAGCCAGAATTCTGAACAGGTTTTGAACCCTCCATATATGTTAAGATTTAAAAGAGAAATTAATACCAAAAAAAGCTTTTTTTTCCCTTCAACTTTTTTACAAAAAGTATTTAGGTAAATTATTATGCAAAAACCTATAAAGAAATATAAGTGAAATCAATTCAAATTGTTACTTTGAAGATTGCAATATGTAGCATTACCTGTAAGTCAAACCACTTGCCCCTTATGCTGTGGGTCACTTGCCCCTTATGCTGTGGGTTTGAATCCTGACAGGGACTTTTGGACTCTTTCTTTCTGAGGAAGCTATCAAGCTAGCTTATGGAACGTCGGTGGTTCTACTCAAGTGCCCGTTTGTGCCCGAAATAATGCAGGGAAGGGCACTCGAGGTATTCCTCCACCAGTAATGCTGGAAAGTCGTCATATGACCTAGACTGTGTTGGTTCGACTTAAAACCCAGTCAAACAAGTGAGTCACATTCCTATTAACATGAAATTTTTTTTTATATTCCTATCTGAAAAAAAAAGATCAATTTCATAAATTTCAATGTTTAGTAACTTACAGGCCCATTATGCCCCAGAAATGCCTTTATTTCAATTTCCCAAAAGTTTTTTAGTTTTGGAGTCCAGTCACAGTTTCCAAACAAATTCTCACCTGACCATTTACCTCCTTCTCTTGCTTTTTGGCCATTGGTACAGTTATAGGGATTAAGTGTTTTGTATGAAATATCACTTTTTTACATTTTGCTTTATTTAAATGACAAAAAATTTCACATTCAGTGCTGCAGCAATGTTTTTACCTTAACCGGTACTGCCTTTATTATTGTAAAACCGGTGCTACCCTGTAAAGTATTATACATTATATCAGCAAAGGAATTCCCGTACCAAATGATATTTGTTAACATTCAACATGGGCCATTCAATAAGTAAGTTTCGAGAAAATTCCATTTCGTTTTCAGTAAGTTCCCGTATATTGGTGATAATGTTAAATATCTTGTACAGCAGTGTCCCCGAGCCACCGGGTCTGATGTTGATCAGATGCTGTAGACACATGACCATTTTCTCTTGAAGTGCGTCAACAACCGCTGGGTGCTCAAGTTTACAGCGATCTGAAATGAACAGAATGAAATTGTTAATTAAACCATTATGCTCCTATCAACAATATTACATAGAAGATTGTTCTCTTACAGATGTTGTGTTTCCTGTTGTTGTGTTTTCTGTGCACATCAAGTTAAAATTTGTTCTGTGAGTATTAAGTTTATGACAATTCAACTATAATCTTAACTGCAAAATTCTTTACATTGCATTTGATAAAACAAAAAAGCATTATTATTTCCTTTTATAGGTTAAATGACAAAACTGTATAAATTTACATGTTTGTTTTGGGTTTTACGTCACACCAACACAGTATAGGTAATATATAATTGGCGATGTTCAAGCTTTACTGATGGAGGAAAACCTCAGTTGCCCTTCTGTGCATTATTTCAGGCACGAAGGGGCTAGAACCACCGACGTTCCGTTAGCTAGCTGGATAGCTTCCTCATATGAAAGAATTCAAAGTCCCTGTCGGGATTCGAACTCACAGCGGTGAGGGGCAAGTTGAAAATTTGCATGTACTTTAATAGTATTTACCTGTGAAAAGTATAACGATTGCACGGAGAAGGCTTTCTTCCTGCACGGACAAATTCAGTTCCGCCAACTGTTTGATATAATGATGACGGGCCTGGATATGCTCCACTGGGAAAAATTTCCCTAATTCGTCCAAATGTAAAGGTGAACCCCATGGTAAGGTTATCATCTTTTTATGCATGTCAAGATTCTGCATTGTACTCTTATATGAACAAATAATTCCTGTCTCAACACGTGACGCTGTTAACATAAGATAAAAAGAACACCTGATGATATTTACATAAGATACAAAAAATTAACACGTGATGCTATTAACATAAGGTAAAAAAGAACACGTGTGTATTCAAAGGGACAAAGAACAGTGGCTATTTCAAAGGTAAAAGAACACGTGTTTGATTAAAAATACAAAGAAAGTGGGGTGTATTAAAATAAATCAAAAGAAATTGGTGATTCA